TCACAACTTAGAAAAGCTTATCCTATCATACAGCCTCGTTGTAAGTTTTGAATCTGTTAAATTATTTTTGTGGTAACCATTTTAAAGACCTTGCCGTATCCTGAATGTCAATCATTTTTATTATATTCAGGTTACTACTTACTACTGATCTTGCAAAATGTCTGCAGACTTTTCCAAGGCTGCAATTGGTTAAACTAGATTGTTGTGTGGGTACAAGTTCAGGGTTAAAAGCCATTGGTAATTTGTGTGCCTCACTCAAAGAATTGAACTTGAGTAAATGTGTTGCAGTCACTGACGATAGTCTCTCATACCTTGTGCAAAGACACAGAGATCCAGAGAAGTTAGACATAACATGCTGTTTCAAGATTCACATGCATCCATATACAGCCTAACAAATTCATGTTCAAGGCTCACTTCCCTTAGAATGAAGTCTTGTAGCTTGGTCCACAGAGATGCTTTTTTGTTTATTGGACAGTGCCACTTATTGGAGGAATTAGATGTCACAGACACTGAAAGTAATGATGAAGGTGCATTTTCAACCTCACATTTCCCTTATATAATGTTTACCTGCAGTGCATGATTTATGCTTCTTGATTTGTGTAGGGCTTGTGTCTATCTCAAGATGTACCAAACTTTCTAGCCTGAAGTTGGGCTTATGTTTGAAGATAAATGATAATGGACTGAAGCATATTGCAAGCAGTTGTTTAGACCTCAAACATCTTGATCTCTACAGGTTTCTCATCTCTCAACTTTGTAACATTTAAACACAATTTAATTTTTGATAGGAGAAATTTCCCAGCATGCCTTACCTCATTATTGAAGTGAGATGAGTGAAAAGGCATCATGGAACTTATTTATGAATAAATGTAAACTGCAATGCATGTAGTATTGGTTGCTTATAGTCACAGATATTATACAATATCATCTTAAGTTGACCATTTCTTAGAATCTTTAGATGGTGGTTCTACCTTACTTGGTTATAATTTTTTGGCAATTTTCGTTTTGTTCTCTCCCATTAAAAGTTTACTGTGGTTGATTTCACAGGAGCTCAAGAATAACTGATGAGGGAGTTAATGCAATTTTCCTTGGCTGTCCATCACTAGAGGTTATTAACCTTGCTTATAACAGTAACGTGACAGATACTTCCCCTAGTGTCTCTTTCAAAATGCCTGAATCCAAGAACCCTGGAAATTCAAGGGTGCCCACAAATTTCACCAGCAGGTCTCTCAAATATTGCTGTCAAGTGTAGGCATCTTGAGATGCTGGACATCAAAAAGTGCTATAAAATCAATGATAGTGGAATTATTCAATTGGCTCAACATTCTCAAAATCTAAAACAGTCAAGGCTCTCTTCGTAGTAGTCCAAAACTTTTGGAGATTATTTTGTATGCCAGTATTTATTATCATAACACTGGTGCTTGATGTTGATGCGATGTCAAATATGCCATCAAGTGTATATAAAACTAACTAGCAATGATTTATTTGAATTGCAGATAAAGTTGTCATATTGCTCAGTAACAGATATGGGTCTCATTGCACTTGCTAGCATAAGCTGCTTGCAGCATATATCCATCTTTGACTTGGAGGGTTTAACATCAAATGGCCTAGCAGCTGTCCTTTTGGCTTGTCAAAATTTGACTAAGTGAAGTTAAACACATCCTTTAAGACATTACTACTTCAACAAATTCTACAATACATGGAAGCTCGTGGTTGTGTGCTATTTTGGAGGAAAAGGCATTTGAAACTTTCGGGCATTCCCCCTGCTTATTTGCAGCTATTCACATTCAGGAATAGTCTGTGATAAAACATTAATCCTTAAATTTGGCGTTCATTAAGACCACAAGATCCGTTACATTGCTATGCTATTATTGAATTTCATCAATCTCAGTTGTATAGTGTTGATCTAACTGCGATAATAGATAGAAAAGCAGTTATTTATTTATGGGATGTTGGCTATTGGAATATAAAATTCATTTTGTACAACCCAAGAAAATGAAAAACTAACAGCTTCATTGCCATTCCCTCTGTCACACAAGATTCCAATTTTATCCTTTCATCACATCAAACTTTTCATAAAAGACATACCTCAATTTCATTCATAGCTTATTTTTCAAAGACAACAAGAACGATAATCGTATGGAAATGAGTTCTATTTGGTGGCTGGCTTTATGTGTATTTTCAAGGAATAGATAATGCCCTTTGATGAAAATTTACTTGGTGGAATATCTCAACTTGATCATTGCTTCATGTTTATGATTAATACATGTGTTTCATGGGGGAAAAGATTTATGAGCTCACTGAAAAAAATAAAGTCACAAATTATGTCAGACTTGGACATTACAAGATTAAGGAACAGGTAAAATGAATATGTTTAATGCAAAATTTCGTTGTTCTGCATTCTCAACTAGATGATTGGGTACTTTAAATATTTATAATAAAATTATATATTCTTATTTATCACTTTTAAATCACACATTTGATTTAAATAAGTAAATTACTAAACAAACACAAATACATAACACAAATCAGATATTTCTTATTGCAGAATAGACAAATTGTTATATGAGCCTCCTTTCATTTACAATGAAGATTTAAATGAGTTTTTGTCTTCCAGTGTTCATATTAAAATAACTAGAATAATCATATAAATCTACATATTTTGTGGTTAATGTTAACTTATAAATTCAATGATTAATGAAGCCCAAAAAATACATGAGATGATGGGATTTAGAGTAGTTTGTATTAATTTTTTTTTTTTGGTAAATACAATTTGGAGGGTAATAAAATGTTGCATCGTGACCTCAAAAAACATGTTGCATGAAGGGTGTTTTGCATTGGGTTGTTTACACTTAACTCATGATGCATCCAGGTAGCGGAGATTGACTTCATCAAAGATTAGCTTTCCAACTCCAAGGACCACACAATTTTATCTAAAGAACGAATGCCATTCTTGTTATTCATTCATATCACATCTATTTATATAATATATTAATCTTGAAACATGTAAAGGATTTACCATTTTCAGTAAACAGTCATTCTTTAGTTTAAAATGTTTCTCTTTCTTCTTTATTTAGTTGATTGAACGAGCACAAATGATTTAATACTCAGCTTTTAATTTGGTTGAACGGAATGAGTATAAACAGTAGTGTTCAGCTTTAACTTCGATGTTGAGGGATGGACTTGCATGGAATAAAAGGGGGACACACATCCCCATTCAATTTTTAAAATTTTTCAACAATAGTATTAGATTGTCATTTTAAGTTTCTGTTAGATATAAAAGCTGGTGTTTTTGTACAGTGCAAATAACTGGCAATATAGGACCGTCGCCTATGAGCATGTCTTCTTGCGGTCCATGGCTCTTTTTCTGCCTCTCATGATCAAATTTGTAGCAGTTCCCTACTTGTAAATAATGTGGCCATAGCTGAACTTGGAGTTGCACAAAAAATTGTTTCTATAATCCTGGTTAGATGTACATGACTTTATTTTTAAGAAAGTCTCCTTTACTTTTACATAATGTATCCTAAGTTTTTGCCCAATTCTTCTTCCAACGATGGATCCAACCTCCAATGAAAAAACAGATGTATTTATATTTTCATTTATCTCTTTAACATGTTTAGCAATAAGCATAGATCTTTATAATTTGAATATTTTTCGTATAAAAACTAAAATAAAAAAATATATTATGTAAAAAAATCACATTAAAAAATATATTATGTATATAAATCAAAATAAAAAAAGTATTTAAGTATGAGATAACAGTAATATAATGAAAGTTAAGGATAGGTACAGTTAAAAAAAAATTCAAGACTTATTTAAAAAAACAACCAATTCAAAAACATGAATTTTGTATAGGGACTAAAATTCTATTTAAACTTAATAATTATACTTGTAATACTAAAATGTTTCAGCTTATACTCTTGTTTACTATCTCAGTATACCAAAAGTAATGTAAAATCTAATGAAACTACTACAAAATACTTAGTTAGGGCAAGGCAGGTTTTTCTATTATAGTTTATGATTTCTTTTAGCTATATAGTTCATCCAAGGAAGATATCCAACTTGGAGAAATATTAAATGGTCTTTTATCAGTATAAAAATATATACCACTCCAAGAATTTCAATTGCACTTATATTCATCCCCTGAGAATTGAAGTTCAAGCTTTTCCCCGTCCTTTTCCATCACGGACTCCAGATATATACAACGGAGTGCAATTTGCTCATCATATTCCTGTCACGTTGATTTCTTAGAGGTTTTCATTCTTTAAAAATCCATGAACACGCAGAGTAGAATTAGCATTCTCACTAGAACCAAGGCTTTACTTATTTAAATAATAATTGAAGTCGAGCAAATCAGGAATAATAAATATATTTTATGATAAAAATACTCATTTTATAAGTTCATCAATACAAATAGTTCTTATAAAGAATTTGATTGATGTAAATAATATTTGAATTCACAATGTATGTGCTACTATTATAACTAAATTTACATGGAGAAAGACGGAAAAGAAAAGAAAAATAAATAAATCAATTCATTATTGTAAATTTAGGATGATCAAATAAAGTTAATAAATTAAGAATAATTATGTCCAATTAATTTAAAAGCTTCTCTTCCCTCCAAATCTTTCCATTTTTTAAGAAGAGCTAAAAAATTAATTGAGAATTTGTAACCTCCTCCCTTACCCCATCCTTCTGAAATAATGAATCAAACATGAAAAACTTAATACGGATCTCTCCCTTCTTTCCTTCCGTCCAATCCATTTTCCCTCTCACCAAACACTGAAAGATAAATGAAATAAAATAAAAGGGAGTGCGTCACTGATGTTCTATATCTATAAATCAAATGCACTATAATATCTAGGTCACTGGAAATCGCATAGACTATTTATTACAGTTTACTTTAAATAATAATTATAAAAAAAAAAAAAAAAAAAAAAAACTGGAACCCTATTACCCTAGGCAAGTATGATGTTGGGGGTGGAGGGTAAGATGAACTTGGTAAAAATTATTAACAAATACCATCCTTCCATCCATGAAGGGGAAGGAAAACAAAAAACCTGTCAACCACAACAGAAGCAAAATACTGCTGGATGCACAAGCAAGCATTCCATGCCCGTTTTAAAGGTTAAAAGCTTGAATCCACAAGGTAAAATCATCTGTCGTCTTAAATCCAACATCAAGTTAACAAAAAGTCTATAGATTCTAACTTTAAAATAAAAATGTCACAGCATCTTGCTAGCTCAGAGCCAGATTGTTATTTCAAAGGCCTGAGGTATCTAATTTCTCATTCAAATGCATATCTTCAATGGCATTTTTCCCCCCTTCATTAACAGATATATTCTCTTCAGGGTTAATGATGCCTGTATCCATCTTGGGGTCAGGGGAAGAGTCTAATTTCTCATTGTCAGAAGCATCAGAATTTGAGTCTAACCTAATTGAATCTAAAGAAGGAACATTGTTTGGGACGGATGATGGGGAGTTTTCCCTTGTCCAGAAAGAGGGAATCTTCTTATCATCCTCTCTCATTCTCTCAGCATATTTATTTATGTCAAATCCTGTATCATCATTCCCACCGAAAGCAGATTCAAGATGGTCTATATCAAACAAATCCTCCATGATCTTCTTAGTGTTCTGATCATCAGAGTAGCCGAACTTGACTTTGTTGTATGTCTTAGGCTCTAATAGGGGCTTTACCATCTGCAACAATACATATTTTGTCATTACACAATGGTACACGATTAATGTTCAGAATTATTAGCAGCTAAAAATAAACGCACTAGTTAGGAGGCAAAAACCATAAACTTATTGTCATGCAGATTTAGAGACCTACTCAAGAGACAAAGTGGTAAGTAAATGATAGGGTACTTTTGACTTAACTACTAAAGTGTCCTTACTGTCTCATTACATGTAAATACACAGGTTTAGAAATATAAAAATTCAAATGAAGAAAAATAAAAAACTTGTATCCAGTCCATGAGGGGAGTTCGTGGGACGGCGTTTATTTCTGTCACTACTTGACCTAAAATTTTCGTAAGATTGATTTTCTAGACCTGAACTCTACCCGATCAAGACCAATAATATTAGGATAGGACAGAATTAATCCAACTTAAAAATAAAATATTTTAATCTTAATATTATGTAAAACTAAACAATAGATTTAATGAAGTATAAAATTAATGTATATTTTACACTATATATTTTAAAATGAATAATATCAATATAAATACAATATGCAAAATATTATCTATTAAGTCTTGAAGTATTATTACTAATATATAAATGCTTAAAAAGGTAAAAATTTTAAAAGAGAAGAGACATCGCAACCAGGTTAAGACAACGCTTTCATAACCGAAACTCTTCCGCAAAATACACCGGGTCTAATTTTAAGAACTTAAACCCATCAAAATTACCATTGGGTCGAGGCGTGTTGGTGGAACAGGTCAGATCACCCGTGACACAAACACACAAAGGGGGAAAAAGAAGAAAGAAGCTTGGTTCCAGTGCTTCAATTCTGGACCAAGTGCACTCTAATTTGATCTCTAGTCAAGTGGCTTATGCCTGGAACATCAAAAGTTTCTTAAGAACCAAAATAATTTTTGGACTCACTCTAGTCTAGAATAAAAAAGTCACATCACATCATCAAAACTCAGCTTTATTTAACACTTCATAAAGTCAATACAGATAAACAGAAGCAAAAAGAAAGAAAAATAAGGAAGCATAGTGTGAGGAAGGATAAAAGTTTTTTTCTCGTTACCATGAAGAATGGTTCGAAGAACTTAGGTGCATTATACAATACTGCCAGACCCAGCCGTTCAGGATAATGTTCTTGTAAGACATGGGCAGTTTCCCGTGTCACCTTTATTGAAATATGTGACATATTGAAACCCTGGAAGTCAATCAGCCAGACCATCTGTTCCTGTTCTGGTGGAAGATTTAAAATAGCATTCTCCATGCAGTATACCAAATATTTAATTTGTCCTTTTGTTGACTTTGAGTTCTGCATTCAAAAACAAGAAGAAAAAAACTGGAAACATGGATAACATTCCTCTACGAGATCAATAATAAATAGGATTTTAACCAGTTATGCAGATATCATAGATCTATCAAATCACACAACAATGTCAAAGCAGGGAGCAAAAGAGTGCCTTCCAGGAGTTAAAATGATAGAAATAAACCTGACAAGGTAGCTGGAAGAATATGTTCAAATACATCTCTCATCCTCATTCTTTAATTTTTCAATTATTCTGAGCACATTCTAGACATCTTAGATCAACATGCTAGAGGTTAGAAGTGATAATCAGAAGTTACCTGGCGACCAGGTCTCATTACTAGGACTGTTCTCCCGTGCTTGTCAATATAATTTGTTCTATAGATTTTTCCTGTCTCTGCTTCATGAGCAACATCTTCCTGCATCGACAAAATATACCCATAAAAAAACTTTTATCAGAAGATAATTCCAGAAAGTGTGACGTAATTACATAATTGTTCAGATCACAAACATTCTGAATGATTCAGTAATTAAATAGGTCAAAAGAAGTCAGTTAATAAGTATTAAGACAATATGATACATAGTTGCAAGTAGTTCAGGTAGAATATTGATCAGACATAGCCAAACAAGGCCATTGAATCCAGTTAAGAACCTCTAATGTTTAGTCAAGCCCACCCTCATTCTCAACTCAACTCCTCTTAGAGAGAGGTGTGAACAAGGTAATAGATGCCCAACATATTCTCAGCTTATCTAAGCTATATAAAAATATCTTCAATTAGAAAAAGCAATACCAAAGCCAAATCCCTTCTATGCAACACATCCAAAAATCAACAGAAAAAATGAAGAAAGGCAGCGACTCACCCAGCGGATCTCTTCTGGTTTGTATTCTTCTCTCCATTTCAGAGTCTGCTTCAACATTTTAGTTGCCTTCTTGACATTCCAATTTCGCGCCCTTAAATACCTTGCTATTGATGCATCGGAACAATAAATGGATGCCTTACCAGACAGTGGCCCAATTAACCTTCTCACCTCATTGATCTAGAAGAAGTAATTTACTATGAGCTACAATACTCTTTGCTCAAAACGTTGCATTTTAATATTTACAGATGCCACAGGTGAGAGTGTTACAGATACATCAAGAAAGTAAAATAACTGTACATACCAATGCTTGCTGTTCTTGTGATGTCAACATTTTCTCCTGGCCATTAGAGGCAGTTTTCTTTGGATCCACATTCATGTTGTTCTTTTAGAGACTCTATAAGTCAACAATGAATACTGCAAAAGTCAACACCAATTTATCTAAGTAATCACTCATCTTATATATAATTACAATATAACAGAGATCTACACACATCTACTTTTGCATCACATAGCTCAGTATGCTGACAGGCTGTCATTCTTGTATAATTAAAGCTGTAAAATAACTAACTTCACATTAACAAAATGTATACCGTTCAATACAAATATGCCAGCAAAACTTCGATGTGGCAAATGTGAATTTATGGGAGATAGTTTTACTGTGGTTTATTTGTTAAAATGTCAGCATTCCTTTTTAGCAAGCAACCTAACTAATTATTAATTTTCCTAATCGTGTGCCAGGAAGAATGACACCACAAAACAAAATAAGAAAGCCAAAGCTTCATTGTGTATCTTGCTCTGAAGTCTGAAGCATGGGTATTTCATTTTAGTCAAAAGTACTCATACTCAGTGTGTACCGGTAACAAATAGACATTGCATACCCATGGGTTCTTATCAAAATGAATTTTTTAAGAAAAGTATATGCGGCATGAGTATGACTTTAGTGACTAAGTGCGGTTTGAGGTATAGCTAGTTATGCCTCAAGTACTAGCTATACCATTTTTCTTCCGCAAAAATGAAAGTCCAATTTGGATGAAAATGGATTATAGAGTAACACTGGTTCATACAGGTTAGAATCAATTTGACATGATTTGAAATGGATTACATTTCACTAGCAGTTAATGTTTGTTTATTTTCAATTCAAAACATATATTCTATGCAACATAAAGCAAATTGAACCATCCTCATATCACAAAACACAGAACAATGGGATTTAAACTTTCCCATTGAGAAAATTTAGATCAGTTAAGGGTGATACTTCTGGCACTCCAATTACCTATTCCTATTCACAGTCCCCACTACTAGCCAAGTCATAAGTCATAATTAATCAAATTGCTTTTGGTATTGAGGAAAATTTAGAAAATTGCAATTTAAAGTAGTAAGTGAAGTGAAGATTTTAACTATTAAGTAATCTAGGGGGCTAATAGCCCCACCCACTCTGTCAAACTTAAATTCCTTACCATTACATGCCTTTAGTTCAGTTTGCTGCTTTACTTCCTAAAATCTTAACCAATATTTTACTTCATATTTCATCATAAGCCAGTTGCTCATAAAGGCAAAAAGTTATCTGCTGCAGGCTCAAGAGAGGCCTTGATTGACAAGACAAGACTTTTGCTTTTGCCCAAACAATTAAGTACCAGAAGGCACAAAAAACTTCAGGAACAAACTACCACTTAATGCCTATTATCACAGCTCCTCAAAAAGTTTAATCATATGAAGCATGGGTACGGGTATCTGAATCGTAAATTTATGATGACATACAAATATTGAATGGCAATACAGTATGCCTTAAAATTTGGATATGGGTATGGCATGTTACACAGAGAAGATATATATAATTTCACAAAAAAAATTCATCACAAAACATTATAAATTAAAAAAATAGTTACAAATTCCATGACTTACTACTTTAATTTATAATGTTTTGTAACTATATACTTCATGGGTAAAGTGGAGAACATAGTTCTTACTTTCAGAATTGAAAAAAAAAAAAATGCAAGCTTACATCATCCAATGGGCGAAAGAAGAGAATCATCAAGTCTTACATACCCGCAGTACAGCAGATATTTTGAAGTAAAAACGAAAAGTAGTACACTTCCAAGGTTTAATATTTCCAATGCTAGAAAACTTCTTAAAACCCAATTTTTTCCCAATTTTGAGAGCTGGATGAACTAGTTGGACTTAGATCCAGCTATGCTTCGTATTAGTTCAATCACGATTAAACCACAAATGTAATAGGTTGAATAAATCGAACCAATCCCTAAGGACTTCCCAGTTCGATTCTTAAAACACGAGTTTGAGACAGTAACAAGCTAGCTGTTTTATCCATCAAATAAAATAAATAAATAGACCTATAATTGTGGAAACACACACACGCATAACAAAAGCAATCTTTTTCTTGAGTTAAATAGAAGCAAGCCATTACAAATAATCATCAAAATTAATTATAGGGTCATATCCAGGGTTCAGATTTGGAAATCCATAGAGGATTAATATAATCAGAAAATGGAATCAAAAGGCAGAGACAACCAAGGAACAAATGTAGATTCGAATAGGCAGGAAAGAATAGAGTGAACATAACAAAAAGAATGGAATTCGGAGAAAGCAAGGAGGATGAAAATGGGAAGAGAACAGCGCTGCGAATGTTGTTGCTAACCTGAGACTCTGGCTGGTACTGATTCAACGTTTGGCGCGTGTGTGTCGGGGTTACACCATGGAAACGGTAGAAGTCAACCCCGTTTCTATCTCTATGCTCGACGAATTGAAATGGTGAAATAGAAGTGGTTTGGGAGACAGCGATGCTGATGCTGATGCTGATGCTGATTCTGGTATTTCTTTTGGTCTCACGCACTGTGTGATCCTCAACTGAATCCATGTGATGGCCCCACGTGGAAACAACCCACCAAAGCAACGACACATTTCAAACTCTTTATTATCTTTTTACATTAATCAGCACATGACAAATATTTTAAATACTTATTATTTTTAATATAATATATATATAAGAAAATATTTTTATTTTTCAAAGCATGTGTTCTGAAAGTAGTAGAACGTAAATTAAAGGCCAACTTACCAACTCCGGCATAGACCGTTATCCAATCAGTAATTTTGATTTATCCACAAATTTGAATTATCTTATTAAAGTTTAATTTGAATAAATTTATAAAAAATGTTATTATTTTTTTAAAATTTATCTATAATGAGCCCAAATTAGATAGTATAGATCTGATTTTTTTTAATAGATTAGTTTAAATTTTGTATACGAAAAAGCCTTTGACAAAAACAAAAAATAGTCTTATTATAGTATTAATAATTTTAATTTCTATCTTTTATGAATAAATTAAAAAATTATTTTTGTAAAAGATATGAATAAGCTTAAACTAAAATAATACATTTATCAAATTTGTACTTTAAATTTAAAATTATATAAATATATAATTTCATTCTAAAATTCCTTTTATGTTAGTATTAATTTATATTATTTTTTATTAGTTTCTTTTTAAAAGCATTAACAACTTATTTTGAATAGTTTGAACTTTGTGTGTGAAAATTTCTTTTGGAAAAATGTTCTTCATTTAAACCTGATTGCCTTCTATGAAAAACATATGTAGTTAAGATTTTTATTTTCGACCTGGTAATTGTTTTATGTATTAAATGTGCATTATTAAATTAAAAAATATATTATATACTTATTTTAAATTTATTTAATTTTATAAATTTAAAGTGAAATATTTTTTTTATTATAAAAATATTTATAATGCTGGTAATTTTTATGTACACTCTAAAAATATTAATAAATAAAAATTTTAATTGAATAAACAAAAATATTTTTTAAAAATATTTTAAAACTTAATAAGTTATAAATTTAAAAGGGAGTGAATATTGTAACTATTAATAATATATATTTTATTATATAAAATAAAAAATTAAATTTAAAATTAAATATAAATTATAAAAATAAAAATTGGAATTAATAATGATTTGACAAATAAATGTTTAATGCAATAAATCAATTAACATGATAAAATACTCTTATTTAAGAATTTGTCCTCACAAATTATATATAAGGGTAAATTGAATAAGATTAAATTATAAAAATGTAAAAATAAATTATAAAAATTTATTTAAACTTAAAGTAAATTAAAAAAATTAAATGTAAGAGAAGTTACGTAATATAGTGAAAAAAAATTAATAGTTCATAAAATACTTTCATTTAAAAATAAAATTCTGAATTAATATATAAAAATAAATAGATAGAAGTAGATATTTAGTCAAATGTGAATATCTATAAAATATTATTCGATGTTAATTTAATTGAGATTCGATTATACGGATCCTATAAAATATTATTATAGTATGACTTGGATTTAGGTTGAGTTTTGGGTGTCAAATGTACAATGTTCCACATTAATCATTTATAGCATATGAGAATATTTATTTGATATTATTTAACTATATTCATTTACTTGAAAAAAAAAAAAAATATATATATATATATATATATTAATTCGAATCACTTAAGATTTTTATGTTTACTTTTGTGACATATATTAGCGTTTTTTCTTTCTCAAAAAAGTATTCAATTATTTCATACTTATAAATTTTGACTGCTTCAACACATGTAGATAAGAAAAAACATGAGTCCTAATTTCTAAATAAAATTATTTTGATTTTTTTTTTATTATGTCGTGTCATTTTTTATATTAAATATTTAAATTTTGATAAAAGTTATTTTTCTGACTCAGAAGAACATAGATTTCTAGATGTCTTTCAATTTGGGGAATCACACTATCTTCCATAGTCATGAATGGCGGCATTATCATTGCCAAAAGGACAAAGGTCTTGAGATCTATAAATATTTTTCTAAATTATTTTATTTTGTGTTGTCAGGATATTACCATTTGAAAAAAATATTAGCTCCTTCTAACAACACCCACGTCAAAAGAAAATTGCAAAAGCCAAAACCAATGTAGTGACCGGCATCGTCACACTTTAATATTTTTCAAGCCTAGACGTTATCCTGTTGTTATATTTATTTATTAAATATATCGGTAATATAAAAATATCCATTAAAAGTGTTTAAAATAAATTAAAACATTTAACTATAGTAAATAAATTAAAAATAGAACTAAGGCATTTGAATATTTTAAATTTTGAAATATTACAAAAGTTAGTTTTATTAATAAAAAATTATTTTGACGATACAGATATCTTGTTATGCTCAGCTTTGAACAGATATTAAGGAATTTAGTATAATTTTACTTTGATGAATTAATTGAGTATGATGAAGGTACCAATTTTTCAAGAAAAAAAATCATCCATTTATTAACTTTTATTTTTTATATTTTTGGTTTATACACTTTATTTAAAAATAATTAAGTATATATTATTTTTTAAAAATTATTAATATTCATGAATTTTTATTTCACATTAATCATAATATAGTAGTAAGTAATAATAGTTATAATGATATCAAATAATTGGTAATATTTATAATATTAGTAACATTAGCGTCATTAGTGATTTGATTAGAGTGATCAAAGTAAAAATTAGATTTTGTTTAGAGGAAGAAAAAATGAAAGGGTCTCAAGGATAAGAGAGAAGAGAAGAGGAGAGAAACAGGAAAAGAAAATAGATTGTTAAACTTCTCTTTTATTTAGATGTTTAAAATTTATAAAGAAAAATTTTATTCTAAAAGAACTGCAAAAATTAAATTTAAGGAGACTTTGAATGATTTAAAAAAAAACTCTTTAACTCTTTTCTTCATTTTTTTTAATTTTAAAACAAAGATTAATTATAAATAAACATTTATTTCTTCTTCTTTATTCTCCTTAAAAGGATATCTAAATAATTATAATATTTTATTTTAGGGGTTTAAGAGAGAGAAAGAAAAGGTTTGAAAGATAAAAAAGAAGAAAGAAAAAGAGGAGTAAAAGAGTTAATAAAAACTCTTAAATATGATTAAATATTACATAAATCTTCCTTTTTCTTTTCCTTTTTTTTTTAAACCAACTCTTAAACAAAACTTAAAAAAAAACAATGATAATAATAATTATTCCCACTGTTATCACTTTTTTCATAATAATTATTGACTAGTGACAATGAAAAGTAATAATATTTTTTTTATGTCTTTAAGAAGATATTATAATTACATTATTTATTTTTTGCAATTAGAAAATATTTTCTTAAAAGTTTGTTTAGAGTGGTTACAAGTTTTTAGTTTTTAAATACAATTTTCAAAACAGAATGTATTTGACTAAAATGAATTGAGTTGGATTTTATTTTAGTTTTGAAACTAATTTAATTTGATTTTTTTTAAAAAGATATTTTAGTTTTCAATTGTAAAAATAACTCCTTCAATTTTATGCTTTTCTTAAAAAATATACATGTTACTTTTATTAATAATGTCATCACTTATTGACAATAATATTACTATTATTATTAATGTCATTGATTACCTCTATAATTTCTATTATCGCTGACTAACTATCTTCATTATTACTACTATAATTAACAACATAATTATTTGTTATTATGGTTATTATTACTATTATTATAACTACCATTATTAATCATTATTTTTATTACTATCCCTCATTTGCTATGATCACTAATTACCATTATTGTTGTTACCACTAGAGTTAGTAAAATCAGTGTGTCTAAATAAATTAGTTAGAACTAGCTTAACTAAAAAATATATATATATATATATATATATATATATATGTGTGTGTGTATAGAAAAAAGAAAAGCTTTAGACAAACTTGAGTATTATTTTTTAAGCTTAAGTATCATTGTTATTATTATTATTACCATCATAATTATTATGTTGTCATTGCTACTATCATTAACTACCTTTTTTATTGGTACCACTTTCATTAGTTACTATCTTTGTTATTTTTATATGTCGTTATAACTATCCACTAATATTACTGATGTTAACATAACCATCACTATTATTATTAATCATGACTATTTTTATTAGTTACAACTACCTTTATTATTTTTCCTTCTAGCACTACGATGATCATGTATCACTATAATTGTTGATATTGTTTGTTGTCATCTTTACTATCTCTATTACAATTTTTATACTAAAATAGTTATTACTATCACTGTCACTACTATTATAATTATTATTGTTATTCAAGTCCTTTCAATTATTTATCTTTATTATCATCAGAATTATGCTCCCAACAAATAATTTTAGATTAATTATTTGTATATTTAACTTTAAAATTTAATATTAAAATTATAAAATATATATATAATTAAAATGAAAATCATAAAATAAAGTAGTTTACATTTTTAAAATTTTCAAAATTTATAAATTAAAAATCACCCCAAATAGATCATGGAACTATTTAAAAAAATTGATGTAAAATTATTTTAAAACTAATTTAATTTCATTTTATTCAAACATATTTTATTTAAAATTGTGCTTATAGGTCAAAAATTTAAAACTCACAACCCTCGGAAGTGGGATTATTTTTTATATGTGATAATTAAAAATAATAGTTACTAAAATATGAAATTTTAAAAAAATTATAAAAATATGAAATTTAAAAATTGCTAGAAATGAAACAATTAAAAATGATAAAATATTGCGAAATTGTTAATAAAAAATTTCAAAAAATATTAAAATGTCAAAATTCGCTAATAATAATTTTATTAAAGTATAAAAAAGTGGCATGGCAATTTTTGTCAAAAAATAATCAATGGGAATTTTTTAAAATTTTGTATTTTCTCGTGATTTTCTTTAAAATTCCATATTTTGATATTTAATTTTTTTCATATAAAAAAAAGGCAGCAAAGAGCCTACATTTACTTGTTTGTAACTTAATTATTTTTTATCAAAATTTTTATTAATTTAATTTGAGTTTATCAATTTAATATTTTATACACATTTTTATATTAAGGGACAAAGTAAACATATAATAAAGCAAGTGATAAATATAGAATATAACAGTAAAATTATAATTATTTAATTAAACGATGATTACTATTTAATAAAACATAAGCACGTATTATCTAAACTAACTTCTGTTAGTATAATACTTGAAATAATTTATATACACAAATTATACGTGAATAATAAGATTAAGCTCACAGAATCGAAAGCAATTCATTTAAATAAATAAATTTAATGTTGGTGTTATTCATCGTCGGAATCCTTTGTCATTTGTGGTGTCCAAATCTCGATATAACTGAATTTCAGTTGGACCACAAAAACAAAGTACGCTTGTTTGAGCGTTTTCACATCCTAAATTTGGTCACCGGAAATTCGGAATTGACAAATTTTCAGTTTCATCAGTTGCGGCCAACGTCAAATTGCAAATTTCAAAGTTTGAACTTGAAACCTGCCCACCAGCTTTGAATTTTGTGGACCTGGATTTGCATTTATGTCTACGGAGTCTCATAATTAGATTATTTTGTAGTATTAAAAATATATGTGTACTATTTCTATGATAATGACGTTTTTTTTAATTTATTAAATTTTATTTAAATAAATTATTTTAAATATTTAATAATAAATGATTTAATAAATTTAGTTATCATTATTTTCTATTGATTATTTTGTGTTTATTGTGTCTTTAAAAATATTATTAAATATATGATATTTTTTAAAAAATAAATAATAAATAATATACAAATATTAAATTATGAAATTTTTTATTGTTAATACTTAAATAAAATTATAAAATAATGTGTTAAGAAATTATTTATAAAATTATATGAATGACAAATGTTACTAGATTTAATAATTATCAATAACACATACAAAATTTAGATAAATATATAATTTAATTTAATGATAAATTATTATATTTTATTTAATATTATTTAATAATAATTTATTCTAAATATTTAATATTATTTAAATTTAATTGTTCTTCATCTATTTTTTAAATAATTTTATTTATTTATAAGTTTATAGTAAAAATATGTTATATAAAATAAATATTTTTAATAAATTATAATAATTTTTTAAAGGTAATTAATCTCTGTGTTAATTCTGCTCCATTTAATCTTATAAACTTTTTGTTTCTATGAATTTTTTATATGACAGACTTTTAGTCCATGAACTTTTTTGTCCTAATCTACATAGATTAAGATTAAATTAGTTAGGACTAGTCCATTTAATACCTCTACAAACTCTTCAATTTCAATACTTAATGAATAAATAGAGTCAGAATAATTATCTATCTAATTATAAAAATCATATTTGTTTTTGAAGATAAGTCTTCTATTAATATTTATTTGCTAAAGAAATTTACTTCTAGAAGTATATTTTACGAACTTGAGTATTAACATTAAATATTTTGATAAGTCTTAACTTGACCTCATATTAGCCTACAAAATCATGAATTCTACAAAACAAATCACTGTAATAGATCATTTAGTATATGAGGGCCTTTATCGCTATTTAGTACAGAGGGTGAAATGTTCGGAGTCCACAACCACAACCCATCCACTCCTTAGATATATCCTTATATCTCTTACTCACAGGATTAGCGAAAATGCCAACACTCTCACTAAGACACAATAATGTATTCAATTTATTCTAATTTGTGTTACTGATATTTCGACATTAAGTGACACTCTTTTTTTTTAATCCCATAATTAGTATATGCTCTCAATGTATCCATAGCCTACCCACGTCCAACAATTCCTTTCCTAGAATTTTAGTGACCCCTTAGGTCTATGTTCATTCCCCCCTTTGATCCATGCCATATATACACATGATGCATGAGTACACAAAATTAATCTATCATTTTCTTAGACAATTTGTGGTAACCTTGGATTCACTCTTCATAACTTCCTCAATCTAGCCCTTTTTATTTCTTCATCTTTGTATGCAAATCCAACATAATTTATTTGACTTTTTAATCAAAGATTTTCATTAATTTCTTTGTCAGATGCATCATTCAGTCAAAACATGAATGAGTAGTAACAGAAGCTTTTTAACCTATTGTTAAACATGCACTTTTGAGTCTCCCCACTACCAACATTCAATTGTTGATCGCCACGTATACATCCATACAAACTTATTTTGTGAATATATGTTTCATACTGAAAACACTATTCGAACACAAAATACTGTATCCAATGACAATGATTCTTTCATCAGAGCAAGCCGAGTATTTGATTTTCATTAAAGAAGTTGCAAATTAGTTTTATTTCCTTTACCACTTCACCTGATTGAATACTCAAATCTATTGCATCAAACAGTGACATTTATTTGGTACTTTTGGTCACCCACAAGCAATAAATAAGATCCTTCTTCTATCACCATTGAACCAGCCTCATTTGCTATGCTAAGATGTTCACAAGGGCTTAGCTCAAATCCCACATGAGCCCTTTCTCCTGCATCTAGCTTCACACTTTGAAAACCCACCAATTGTTTCATTGGGTTTCCGTTTCTCTGTTTACCTTGCCTCATAAATAGCAACACTGGATGCTTCCCCATCATGTTACCATTATTTTTCACTCCCAAAGTCACTGACACTGACATGCTTTGGCATGTTTCTTTACCCAACTCTGAAACTAGCTTATAACGGATGGTTTCAGAATTTTGAATCATAAAATGATTGGATGATTGGTTGATGTGAAGGTTGTTTTGTGAAACAGAAATGAACTCATAGGAATATTTTGTGTAGCTTAGGCCATAGCCAAATTCATACACCTTTGGACCGGTGTAAAATCTGTAGGTTCTCCCAGGATATCCTGATGCTGGATCAGGTCTCATCCTCATGTCTGTCATTGGTACATCGATGAAATCTTTTGGGTACCAAGTAATTGGTAATCTTCCTCCTGCATTTGAGGTATGATAGTTTTAGAAAGGAAAGTAGTCCATTTGAGTTATATTAGTTTTGGGAAAAATGCTTGATGTTTTACGTTGTTAAAGTATTGGTAAAATTATAAATCAGCACTTCGAAGTTTGGGTCACGTGTCACTTAGTCTCTAAAAGTAATATGTGCAAAGATTACGTGATATTACGTGGGATTTAATCTATAAAATTTGAATTATGTGTAATTTAATCTTTAAATTATGTACAATTTTTAATAAGTTAAAGACTAGATTGTACATACTTTAAACTTCAAGATTAAGATTTATTCAGCACATATTGAAAACCCTAAGGATCCAAATACATATTTTTGAAGTTTAAGAACTAATTTGTACATTATCCACACTTTTAAAATACTATTTTGTCTTTTTTTCCTATAAAAATTATATTTTTAATTTTTCATAAAATTTATTCGTTTTTATTTATTGCAATTTAGTAAAAATAGTATATTTTGCATCCCTCCTCAAGACTAAATGTGTAAGATTTCTGCATGTTTTAACTAAAAATTTAAACAAAAATAATCTTTGAAAAAACATCATATTTAAAATATATTCATGTCTTATGGAAAATTTTAAGTACCATTCTGCAAATTTGATGTTAAGATTTAATAAAAATGTACGTATAATAATTCATCAACGAAAATATAAGACCTGTAATATCTATGTCCTGTTATCATTAGAAAAAATCTCTATAAAATAACACATAAATTTTAAAATTATTTGAGGCGTGTGTCCAATTTGAGTTATTAAGAAAAGTTATACTAAGATTATAATGTTGTTTAGTAACATGCATGGAAGTAAGTGAATAACCTGTGATTTTAAGTTAGCAACACTATATGTATTCTTAGTGTCTTTTAATTAAAATTTTAATTTTGTCTCGATAAGGACCTTTAACACTGACCTTTATGACATGTTTGCCAAAGTAAAACTTCAAATTTATTGAAAAATAAAACAAAAATAACTTTTAATATTGCACCTAAATTTTATCCTTCTAAATTTATTTATTTATTTATCAACCCATTAATGTGTGTCTAATTTGTTCAAGGAAGGAGAAAATTCACCTGGGTTATGGTCACCAAAGATAATCTGGGCCAGGGCCACTCCTCCAAGTTCCCCTGGATAACCAGCCCACAAGATGGCTCCAATTTTGTTGTCAGACTTGGCTGAAGTGATATCTAATGGGCCTCCACACATGACTACCAAAATAACTGGTCGCTTAGAAGCTTTGGCAACACTATTGATAAGTTGTTGTTGCTTCCCTGGCAAGTCTAGGTACTCACGATCATGTGATTCCCTCTCTTGACTTTGATCCAATCCCATGACAAGCACCACATAATCCACCTTTTTAGCCACTTCCACTGCCTCTTCTATTTCAGCAGAAGCACATTGCGGGCCATCATTACACCCAGGATGATAAATTGTGTTCTTGGCATAGTCCTGAAAGCCTTGCAATAGTGTCACCAGTTTACAAGGACGACCATAATAGTTCCCTAGAACAGCTAATGATGAAGCATTGGCATTGGGGCCTATCACTGCAAGGGAAACACTTGGGTTTGATTTTCGCAGTGGAAGAAGTGAGGCAGTGTTCTTCAATAGGACAATGCCATCTCTTGCAGCTTCAAGAGCTAGTTGAAGGTGTTGTTTGGAACATACTTGATTGGGACCAATGGTGCCAAATGCGAGCTTGGAGGGGTTTCCATCAAATAGGCCTAGCCTTATTCTCATAGAGAATAGATTTTGAAGGGCACGGTCGATTTGAGAAATGGGCAATTTCTTTTGCAACACTGCTGATTTAGCATGCATAGTCATGTAATTACCACACTCCACATCCATCCCTACAAAATTTGATACCTCAATCAATCAACCATGAAGGTCCTTCAAAGTTACAAAATTATTAAATACAGAATGATGCTGCTCATACACCACTTTGGTGATGTGCATGGTCCAATCCTTGTATAGGGAACCCAATATGTGTCGGTGCACTGGATTACTCTTACTGAATTTAGAATGTGCTTTCTTTTCACTTTTTAGATTGTGTTGGGGCCATTGGCTCAGTGATAAATTTATAGCCCAATCCTCGATGCAGAACTGGAGTCCAGTAATGATTTTTTGGAGTTGGTATTTAAACCAACCCTCTCTATATAAATTTGGAGTAAATCCTATTCTTTCATACTATAATTATCAATCACTTTATCTTTTTAATCATATAAAAATTTTATTTTGATTTTAAATTTAAAAAATATTTTCATTTTACTATTTTTTAATATGAAATGATAATAAAAAGTATAATAAAAAACTAAAATAAATAATTCTTTTACAAAATTATGAATTAAAGTAAAGATGTTATAAAGTCAGAGATAAATTAAAATAACAAAGACGTATAATTTTAGAGATTACAATGAAAAGTTTAATTTCTAAATTAGAGTTTTTGAAGAGTAAGACGTTTCCTAAACTTAGTCTCGTAAAATTATTTACTATTGTGTATGATGATGTATTATTTTTCTTTTTGGAGGTTAAAAATTTAAGTTAGAACTGAGGGCTCACCAGCATCAATGATTGATTCTCTGCTTGAACTAAAAAAGTGTTTTCCTTTTTTGAATTTTTTACACGTTTCACTGCTTCTAAACTCCCTCACATTTTAGTTTGCATCTCCAATTGCCTTTTTAATTTGTCCAAGACAATTTCCTTTTAATTCCAAGTTTTATATCCAATTATGGAACTAAAGGTAGCAAACATTTCCAATTTTGACGGCCAGTTAAACTTCAACAACTATTTTTTTTTATATAATTGTAAAATACTATTACTAATTTATTTATTGTATCTAAGATTATAAATATATATATATATATATATATATAATTTTCATACATAATTTAATATATAAATTCTGATATTTTATTGGACTTCTTAAAAATGTAAAAATAAACCAAAGAATTTAAAATTATAAAAGAGTGTTATATTATAATCTATACAAATATAAAAATATTTAAGCTCTGAATAAAAAATTATATACACAATTTTATTAAAATAAAAATCCCATTAATAACGTTATGTTTACAAGCAGAGGGGACTTTTGGTGGCTGAGGATGACATTATTCCAAGGAGAAGAGTGGGCCAAACCATGTGACTTTGCCAGTAATATTTGGCAAATAAAACAAATGGTCCAGTAAGTGAGAAAATTAAACACGCATAGAAAATTAAACATCGTGCATATATTTATTGGTGTGTAATGTAGTATTTTACAATTTTTTTATAAGTATTATATCCAAAAAATTATATCAATAAAAAAACATATGATAAATTATAAAAATATATATTATTATATATCATTTATCATTAAATAAAATTATTACTTAAATATGTACTAATTATTATTAGTTAAAAATATTTTATAGTATTCAAAATTTTTTAATGATTATCACAGAATTTATCATTTTTATTAGTGAAGAAGAACGGCATGCATTGGGTACATGATATAATTAGATAGTGATAATGATTATCAAATAAATAAATGAAAGAAATATATGGATAAATAATAGAGGAATGGGAAGTGTGCCACTATACCAGCCCTATACACATCGGCTATAGCGTCCTCTGCTGTTTTTGCATAACCTTGCCTATCGTGTATGATAGAGACTGCTCCACAATCCGAAGTAATATACCTAATATTTTACAACCAAAAGACAAGTTTATATTAGGAAGAAAGTGATGTGTCACTCTCATATTCCGGTGGAATCGTTGCTTCAAAAAGGGGGGAAAACTATAACGTTCCAATTCCAACCCAATTGAAAAAGAAGTTTCACCAAAGGATAGACCAAGTTATGTACCCTCACATAGTCACATTCACTAGTGATATATACTTTAGCTTTAATAGGGGACAAGCTAATTTACCCATCGAAATTCCATTGCTTTCTTGCAATGTTGGTTAGTAGATTGAAATCTGCACAGTTTGGAACCCCATTGACACGGTTATAAGCACACATTATCCCACTGGCTCGACCTTTCTGTATACAACTCTGAAATGGTGGCTGATAGGTGTCGGCCAAATCTTGCAAAGTGACCTAAATCACAAAAACAAAGGATTTGGTGTATTCTCAAAATGACTACTAAATGAAACGTTGAAAAAGAAAAAGAAGTAATTCAATAGTAACACCTTATGGTATCACATCATGAGCCTAACTTTATAAATTTGTACCTTTTTTTTTTTTCGTTGTTTCCTTTTCAGAATTTAAAAAAAAATTCTTGTCCCATTTTCCTTCTCTATAACTAAACAATGCATTAGCGGTACTGCAACAATAAATTACTTGAATATCAAATAATCCAATTTACAAATATGTTAAAGAAACTCAATAAATATTGCTTCAAACTCAAAAACAGTGCAATTAAAACACGACACGACATTATGGATCCAAGGTTGCAGGCAGTCATGACGGCATAAAACAACAAAGGTCACGAGTCTCGTGTTTAGTAAAATAAAACAAAGTGTTCAGATATGTTATCGTTTACGAGACTTTTGTCCAATTCAAAAGACTTGGTTTATTAAGTTATAGATATCAAGATTTTAAGTACCATATTTTATAATTTAATATCATATTGAGCACTTGATTTTATGACGCAACACTTACACGAGCATTGAAGACAAAGCGATCGAGGCCCTTCCATTGGTCCAAATCATAGGCAGTAAAGTGCTTGCAACAAGCTGAAGCTTGAAGATGCTGACCTAGATTCCCTCCCTCAAAAGAATCCCCTTGAAGGCCTCTCACATAAGCCACAGCATATTTGGCACTCACCAAAGGGTCTTCCCCTGCCGTCTCTTGCCCTCTCCCCCACCTTGGATCTCTGAATATGTTTATGTTCGGAGCCCAAAACGTCAATCCCATAGCTTGCCCCTCATTATACACTGCTCTTGCTTCCTTTCCAATCGCCTTAACCACATCCAAACATTAAACAAAACACCTATCTATTATTAGATAAAAGAAAAATTCTTACAATTTAAAAGAGAAAAATAAAGAAAGAAACGTTTAAATGAAATAAAAATTTATTGCATTATATATCCGTACTCATTTAACAAATATCATGAGTTTCATCGTTATTTAACAGTTTTTATTTATTTATTACACAATTTTATTAACTTCAACTTTTAATTTTTAAAGCTGAGTTTAAAAATTTATTACTTTTTTAGATATATAAATTCAACTGCATGGACTAAAACTACCTAGAGTCACATAAAATAAAATAAAATAAAATAAATTTAATCAAATGAAAAATGTCAAAAATATATTATTAACATTTTTCTTACTTGACTATGTATAAGTAAAAATGAAAATTGGAATGAGTGAGGTTTATAGTTATACCCAAAAGTTAAGCATTCGCTGGAATATGAAATGTACTAATGATGAACAACATTTATGTAAAATGTACTGAACAACAACAAAGTGTATAGGCAAAACCTGACTGATTTGGTACCAAAGGTTTTGGTCGAAGGAAGAAGCTGTGAGAATGACTTGAGGGAAGGAAGTTGCAGATTTGATAGTGCCATTCAGTCGTATGCCAAGCCCAGCGTCCGCAACGCCGTGCAAGGCTTCGTTCCACCACTCGTAACTCGGAATGCCGAGTCGCCGAATCGGAGGAGCCGAGTTGACGAGTTGGGCGAGTTTCTCGTCCAGTGTGAGTCGTGACACGAGGTCTTTGGCTCTCTGGCTGATGGGAAGGTTGGGATTGCAGAATGCGTAGTTAGAGGAGGAGGAATCGCAGCCATAAGGAGGCTGAGTCGACTCGGCGTGAACGAGTTGGTGGCGAGTGAGCAGAAGAAAAGAGATGATGGAAAAGAGATTCATGCTATTTCCTAATGCTTATGTTAAACAGAGCGTGCATGGTTTATATATAGACCTCTGTAACAATAAGGTGGAGTTACAGTTTATTTCAGAGTAAAAATATTTTCACCCTTTTACGAGTCTGAAATAGATATAAATATAAAATAATAATATATTATTATTGTTATTATTTTCATCTGCTTCGCCTTATTAGTTATTATAAATGATGATAGGACCAAATCCAATGAATATTTGGACAACTTGCTTGCATCTAGGATATTTATTAATAAATATTTTTAAATAAATAATATTTTAATTTTGTATGATTATATATTTACAATAAAATAAATAATTTTTTATTTTTTTTATTTTTGTAGATTATATTTTAACAAATAAATTTTTAAAAATTACTTTTAAAATGTAAAATTATTAATTAAGTATTTAAAAAATGCATTTGATATAATTTGAGGATAAAAATTATTATGGTATTAAATAAATCCCACAAATGATAATAAACAAGTAATTTTATTAAGTTATTAATTGAAATATAATTCTTTTTATATCTCTCAATATTTAAAGAGATTAATATAATAATTATTTAAAAATTAAACTAATATAACCTATACTTTTTTGGAGAACTAAATAAAATATTTAATCTATAAATTTATTTATGCATATCATATGCATTACAATAAATACTAAAGATATGTAACAATCTATTTATAATATAAGGAAATAATATTTTAATTGAACACTTTTTTACCCTCCCACTATAACTTTTCTGCTTAATATGGTTTTTTTTTTTTTTCAAAATATAACATGAAAAATAATTTTTTAAAATAAAATTAAATAAAAATATATTTTCTATTTAAATTTATTTTATCACGTTATATTTTTTTATTATTAAAAAGATAAATATTGTTGGAACTAATGCTTCAAGATTTGATATATTCTCTTGAAGATCTTTCTTCAACAACCACTCGCCCTTCTAACTCTACTAATGCTGAAATTTACTCTTTACAATCCTCTTGAAACTTAACTTCAGGTTAGTCTAATTTTAACCACACTAATATCTATTCCATAATGGCTAGGGTCGTAACTCTAACTGTGATGCTTCCAATGTTTATGGTCTCTCTGTTTCAAGAGAACTAATTCCGAGGCCTTCCAATTATGAAAAGTTTCTACACGAGAGAATGAGAAGTTCAGGTGCCATTATCCTGCTTCTGGAACAAGGCACTACCCTGCACATGTTTGAAAAGTACTTTAGGATTTTACTACTAATTTTTTTATTCTTATCTTTGTTTCAATTGTTGTTTTATTGTCTAGTCCCAAGAAGTAGTTAAGTTTTTTTGAAATGTTGTGAGGGTTGTTATGTCTTTTTTTTTTTTTTTAATTTGTAATGTTTATGAAGAGGAGTAATGTATGTTCTATTTCACCTCTTCAAAATATGCTAGTTCCTTTTTCTTCTTTTGTTATACCTTTGAGTTTTACAAAAATAATTACTTACAATTGGTATAAAGCGCCTTATTCTTAAAGGATTTGTGAGAGAAAAATCTAAAAGTATGGAAGGATATTCAAGTTTCTTAGTAATAGCACCACCAATCTTCATTGTAAAAATTTCTCCACTAATTAGCAATTCAATAATGGCTCAATCAAGAATTATAAGGACATAAAAACCAGAAAAGTTAAGGCAAAGGTGTGCCTCTTTGATGCAGTTTTACCAATAATTTTCAATTGAATCATGTCTCTAAAGTCAGTTAAAGCCATATGAGATTATCTCAAAAAAGAATAAGATAAAGATGATTGAATCAAAGACATGCATGTGTTGAATCTCATTAAAGACTTTGAATTGTAGAAGATGAGGGGATCAGAAACTATCAAGGAGTACTCGAAAAGGCTCCTGAGCATAGTAAATAGAATAAGATTGCTTGGTTCCAAATTTAATGACTCTCGTATTGTGGAAAAAAATTTGGTTATTATGCCTGAAAGGTTTAAGGCTACCATAACCATATTGAAAAATACTAAGGATTTGTCCAAGATCACCTTGGCAAAGTTGCTGAATTCCTTGCAAACACAAGAACAACAAAAGGCTATGAGAGAATAAAACTTTCTTAATGAAGCCTTTTCTGCTAAACATGAAGATGTTGGGAAAAACAAAAAGAACCAACAACCAAATAGAGAAGGTACTGTTAGAAATGAAAGCAAAGTAGGAAGCTCAAAGGGAAAGTGTCCTCCTTGCAACCATTGCAACAAAATGGATCATCCTCTATTCAAGGCCTGACACTAAATGCACTAAGTGCAACCAAATTGGGTATGAAGCTTGCGATGATTTTTCAATCTTTTATATTAGATAATCTAGTATTCTTATGCATGAAGATAATTAATTTGATCATTGTGGTTGGACTCTTTGAAGAAAAAATGGAATATTAATTGATCAAATCATTCACTCCATCATAGTCTGATAGATGATAGATCCTTTGAAGAACTTATTAATCAGACGAGAATTAAGATAGAGCCTTATTCTACATGTCAATACTGACAACAATGAAATTTATAGTAAGAGAAAAATTCGTCGACTTTAAAAATCGTGAGGGTTCAAGTCCCTCTATCCCCAAAGGGCATGTTTAACTCTCTAATTATGTATCCTATATCTCCTTTTTTTTATTCATTATTTATGTGTTTTATTCAATTTATTCTTTGAGAGAGAGAGAGGAGAGACATAAGACATAAAAAAAGGATTTTTTTTTTCAAACCCTATTTTTATTTTTTTTTATGTGATATAACAAACATAGTAATTTCATTTTTTCAATTCAAGAGAGGTGGATGAGTGGACTACCATGTCAGATTTTTACTCTATTGTACAAATTTGTGTACCAAGGGTTCATATGGTTCTCTTTCCATTTCTGTTAATCTTTTAACTTTTTTTTTTTTTACTTTTTGTTTGATTTTTTTTATTTGCTAGTTAAATATGTAAAATAGATAAAATCCTGACAATATTTCACAATCCAGCACATGTAAGAAAAATATAGAATCCATTTTTTTTTAATTTTTCTATGAGTATTTAAATATGTAAATGCAGACATATTCTTTTATCACCCGAGGGCTCATTTATAACAACTTTACTCTATCTTTATTTAGTCTTTCCTTTTTTATGATTTATAAACAATACAATATTATAAAAGTAAATTCTTTTGAACACAATAAACCCATTCTTACGTTTCCACACTAAAGTTAAATATATTACTGATGAATCTATATTTTACTACATTTTTATACATCATTTATTACTTTTTATAGAAAAGAATAGACTTAGATAGTGTAAATAAGATGAATATTCCAATTAGGCTAAATAATATAGGTTTCTTAGTTTTTTTGTTAATTTACATGAATTTAGATAGTTTATTTTACATATTTTGATCATTTGAATAATATGGCAGGAATCCCCAAGCTTATTTTGAAGAATTATTGGATTTTGAGGATTTTGAGGTGAAAGTAACTACTTTCAATATTGATAGTGACAACTACAACAAGCCACTTCCAGCAAAGGGACCAAAGTGATCACTTCCAAAGCTTAAAGTGACAACTACAGCAGCCCAGAATCAACCAAACCTGCGCGTGGTTACTATGAATATTCATAGTAATCACTCCAGAGCATGCAAAAATTGAAGGTGTTGCGTGTAACTACTATGAATATTCATAGTAATCACTCCAGAGACCCAAAATGTCCCAGTGCTGCGCGTAACTACTATGAATATTCATAGTAATCACTCCAGAGAGGAAAAACCCAACTGATGCTGTGCGTGGTTACTATGAAAGAATGAGAGTAATTACTTTGGACGACGCCAGCTTTAGTATAAATAGATTTTTACCAAATTAGGGTAGGGAGTTCTTACACTTTTTGAACCTTTTCTCTTCTTTACTCAATTTAGAATATTTTACAGAGCTTAGGGCAACCTTGGGTGACAGCCAAGGGTCCAACCTAAGGTTTGGTTTCTCATTTCTTTTGCTTTTACATTAATGTTAATGAGTTTTCTGCATTTCCCAATTGCGTTTTTGACCCCCATTTCCATGGAGGGCTAAGTTTGTGTAATCTTTAGTGAATTCACATGGGTTCTTGAGTTCCTTGAATTTAATGATAATACTATTCCTTTCTTTCATGAATTATTTCTTCCTTGTCTCTTGAATTGAATTAATGGTGAATGAGGGGGATATTGCTCAATTAACCCTAATTTCGTTTTAAGGAGATTCTAAACTAAGGGTTGCTTAATCCTAGGTTTAATTCTAAGGTTGCGTAATTTTGGGATGAGAGATTAGAGCCTAACAAATTGCGTAATTTCGTTGGGACCATAAGGTTGATTTTCGCTTGTTAAATTAACCTAATTCATGGAAGAGAGGATGAATGTTAAATCTTGAGTGGAATGAGGATAGAATCTATGTGGATGAACTAAGGATTGCTGTTTTCTATTATTTGAATTAATTAAACTCATTTGCTCATTGCTCTTTATTTTGATTTGAAACCACAAAACCCCCATTTTAATTGCTTGTTTAATTTATGCCTTCAACATGTTTAATGAAGATTAATAACCAATGTTCATGGGAGACAATCTAGGGTTACCCTAGTATTACATTAATTTGTTTAAATTTTGATGAGGATTTACGACAAATCTTTTAAACACCTCGAAAAAGAGCATCATCAATTACTTTATTTTCTTTTCTTCTCTATTTTATGTCCATTGGTGTTCCAAAAGTAACCTTTTGAAGTCAGCAAGAAGAAGATGCTCAAATTGCTAATGAAGAGGAGCAAGATCAACTTTTTGTTGCAACCTATTTTTCAAGCAATGTTTTAAACAAATCTTGATTGATTGATAATAGATGCACCAATCACATGAATCATGCTGAGGAACTTTTCAAGGATTGGCATTAAATTTTGCCATTTGCTTACACGGATATTAAACTTCAATTTCTACCTCAACTAGGACAACTTCATACTTTTTGGTATGTTAAATGGAAACAATACTTCATAT